ACACACACACACACACACACACACACACACACGAACGCCTCTGAAAACATAACCTTCTTGACGAAGGTACATGTATTAAGCAGTGATATGCATGCATACATAATGTGTGGTCGCTGTTTTTTTTTGTCTCCCAAAGAACTGTGTGTGTGTGTGTGTGTGTGTGTGTGTGTGTGTGTCGTATAGTCGTATACATGTAGGTGTGTGTTAATTGTATGTGTGCGCTCACATTTGTGTGTGCTTTTCAACAGTGATGACGCAGATTGTCAAGGCTGGCATTTTAGTTGAGGTCAGGAGAACTTAATGCATGAAAGATGTGCCCTTGTTTAGCAAGCATGGCCTCATTACCTCATGCTAATTTACACAATTTATCTCACATTCTGTACTTTACTAAAATCACGATAATCCATTATTCCGTTCTCTGTTTCGAAGTTTGCATCTGAAACGTACCTTCAAGCCCGCTAGAGGGCTTGCACGTACGCTAGAGGGCTGAAAATTGCATGCATGTCAATCTGTCCCGAATACAACAGCTATCTACCACCTAAACTTGTTGACCAGGCTCCTGGCGACCCCAAAAGCAACTTCATCCATCGGCCAAGACCTAACTACATACCGGATGAAATGAGAATCCATCCATACCTTCTTGAATTATGCTACTAAGCCACTAACACCCTTACACTACTACAAATGCTCAAAAAACATAAACTTCTGTGTAGATTCCGTAGTCTTAAACACGATTGGACTATGTGAATGTATATTATGTGATATAAATGTCTTACATGGTATGTGATGTTAAGATAACTTATTGCCTGTAAAGTTATCAAAATTGGGAAAAATTGCCTGTACCATTTTTTATGTCCCGGACCCAGCTTGTTGTATAGTGCCTGAAGACTAAGGAGACACGAGATTTGTTAAAAAACTTTTCTGTTGTACAGACAGAACAATCTGCTTTATCATATAAAGTATTCTATCCATAGGGTTAGAAAGGTTTTAAAAAAATTAAAGTGATCTCGAACCAGTTTAGCGCAAATAAAGTCAATGAACAGTTGAGCGAGTCTTCCACTGGCGACTTGTACCGGGGAGATTGTTGTTGTTAAACCCAAATGTTGGTCTTTAAAAGATGGTAGACTATTTTGGATCTAGTCTACACTTCGGTAACGGCGCCCTGTTTATTCTGTGCAGCGGCATACGTTCTTCGGTAACACCTAGAAATTGCAAGAATTTTTTTAATAACTACTGTTGCTAGAAAACTTATAAATGTCGATTCCATTCAGCTGTCCTTTATTGAAAGATGCCATTCCGAGCTTTACGTCAGGAATGAATAACAAGAATGTTCTAATAACTGTTTGTAACTGTTCATTTTACAGAACCATCGGATGATGGTAGACAGCGACAGATTCAGACAAAGGGTTGCGAGCTATGACAGTTATTAAAAACGTAATGGAAAGATCAGCCGATGAATAGCTTCGACGTCATAGGGAGTTCCCTCGATACACAAAGGCTGTTTTCAGCAACATTTTTCTCGATATCACATTCTAACGCCTAAATAAATGTCATTTTCCAGTACATGTCATTGAGTGAGCCTTCTGTCTCTGTTCAGCTAACCAGAAAAGAGAACACTTCCCCTGGCTAAGCGACGTGTTTCCGTGCTATCTCCTCCTGTACCTGACGCTATCATCCATGGCCAACCCTGTCATCTACAGCTTCCGGCTGCCAGAGTTCTGTCGAGCCTGCAGGGAGCTGTGCGGATGGCGGACCAACGCTAACCCACCGGCGGTACCGGCACGGCGGCAGGACGACGTGGAGATGATCGCTATCACCGGTCCCGGGCGAGGTGCACCGGCCTCGGAATTGACGCCAGCTCAAACCTCTTCAGATGGCCTCATTCACCAGTCGACGATGCTTTCCCACCAAACACCAAAGCAGACAACACAGGCCGACATGATCCCCGGACCAGCGCCTCGTACAGGACACCGTGGCCGTGAGACAACTGCAGGGAGACCGTTCCGGCTAACAGTGAGGGTAGAGGTGCACGATGAACCACCACCATGTCCGGACGAAGAGGACGTCCCTACAATAACTTTGGACACCGACGACGCAACAGCCGGCCACACTTTGGACCAGCCACCTCCGCGTACGAAGATCGCTTGGGAGTAAGATACAAGCCAGTGCATCAAAGGCCGACCCTGACAAAGAGACACAGGAAAAGGATACATGTGTTAAAACTACATTATCAACGAAACGAAACAAGACTGTTAGATGTGGAGAAACCAGGAACAGTACTACCCAAGGACAATTGTGCTCATTCAAGTAATTTATACTGACGTACATTTCCATCTGAAATAGGGACAACGGACAATTTAGACGAGCATGATTAAGGGATAAGGAGCAAGATCAGCGTATCATCGACTATCCACAAGGACAGAGGTAGGCTTTTTTTTCTATCAGATATTGTTGTATTATCAGATATTGTTGAATGACGACCTTATCAATCTTCAACACTTGTTCATTCACTTGACAGCTGTACATGTAAGACAGAAGATACCCTGGATGCCAAACTCGTTTCGGGCCGCTACCAATTTCCTTCGGCAGACAAGACCCCTTCGCCCGCGGGTCTAAATCACCGCTACGGGGAGACTAGCCTGGGGGGGGGTTTGGCTGGCCCTTTCTAGGGCCGGACAAACCCCTCGGGCTCAACTCCCCCGTAGCGGTAATTTAGATAGGCGGGCGAAGGGCGCTTGGCTGCCGGAAGAAAACGGCTAACGGCCCGATACTAGTTTGGCATCCCGGGTAGACAGAAGACCGTTTCAGAGTCAAGATTCATGCAAACCGGTACTACAATAAGTTGGTCTTTCTTAAAATGCTTTCTGGCACTAGTATTACGTGTAAATACGTATACACGCTCTCTTTATAAAATGGAGAAGAGATGGGAATGGCTTGGGGTGGGCCATATCAAATTTGTTATTCTTCAGGCCCATCGTTGCAGAGTCAAGACAGGGTACAATATTGAAAAGAATCTTTAGATCCAAGTCCTAGTGGGTCCGTTATTCCTTACGCTCATGTTAGTCAAACTTCTTTCGAATTTTATGTTTCTTACTTAGCGACACTAGATGCTTCCCAGAAACCAGATATTAGTTGAATAGTGTAGTATCTGGACTTGCACAAAGGAAATTATGAAAAAAAATGAAAAAAAAAACTATTATGAGTAATAGTGTTGTGTTGCATTTGGAGAGGTATACGTATTTGTAGAAAGCATTCGAACGAAGTCTAGGACATTTAGAGTCTCCCGTTCAGTCTGTTTGTAGCGAAAATGTACTGACATGGTCAATGTGCTTGTAGACTCGAATCTTTAATTGATATATACATAGATATATGAATGTTTGCTTATATATGTTTTTTGTATTTGGCCTTAACCCTAAACAGTACACCTTCTGGTCCGCGCGGACCCCAGCACTATATATTCTGTAAGTTTTTTTTTTGTTCCTGAAGATTTTTTTCTGAAATTTCAGGTAATTTTCACCCACAAAGTTGTCCCTCAATACAGTGCAGAAAACTCAGTTTCCCTCATTTCGAAAAAATTGTATATCTGATATCTGATTAGGGCTTAGAAATCGGGTATTTCTTCTTTTTTGTCTTTTCTTCACCCAAAAATAGAAAAAGGTCAAAATGTATTATTTTCGTACGTAATGTGGACTCAGAGGTCCACACATCAATTTGTAAAACAATTGAGCTGGTAGCGTGTTCATAATTAATAGATAAACAATAGCAAAAAACTGTTTTGGGGTCCACGCGGACCCCAGTTGTACAGATTAATCAGTCCGGGAAGGTGTACTGTTGAGGGATAATAATTGTCAAATACAGGAAATTTACAGGTTTAATGTATGTGCCAAAATGTAATGCGTCAGCAGTTCCTGAGACTTAAACAAAATATATTTAAGAGTCATTGAATGAGAAAACGGGATAAACAAGGAAGAGGTCGGAAGATTGGTGGCGGCCAAATCGGCTCATACTTTGTACAGTATGTGAGATAGGTATGATGAACTATTAACAGCCATATAGTTAAAACTCTCCAGCTATTTTTCATTATGAGCTTCTCGGACCCTCTGAGACCATTGAAAAGCAAGCGATTTTTGGCTGAAATTGCTAAAATTGCGATGGCTACCCTGATAATTCTGATAAAAATATGACAGTAAGTTTTATAATTTCATATAGCATGGGTTCCTTTGCTTTACAGACCGAAAGTCGAAGATAATTATTGAAATTACGAGGGTATGCTAGGGGTTTATTACAACCAATAAAATCAGAATGTCCACCTCTATTTGTGGCTACAACACCAAATACCATTTTATTTTATTTTATTTTATTTTATTTTTATTTTATTTTATTTTATTTTATTTTATTTTATTTTATTTTATTTTATTTTATTTTATTTTATTTTATTTTATTTTATTTTAATTTTATTTTATTTTAATTTCATATTTTTTTACACAAGATAATTTCCAACATTTATTATCACCTGCAGCGAAAAAAAAAATATTGCAAATCAATGAACATTGAGTTGCAACACACACACACTTTTGATGGTATTGAATATCGAAAGATAAAGCTCAAACAAGTAAAAGTTAGCTCGGCTGAATGATGACGTAACAGTGAACATAGCATCTGGTTTAGAATCTGGCGAAAATATTATTTCGAGAAGGAAACAGTGCCTAGCTATCGCGATTTGTTTGTCGTTCGTCCGTCAGGTTGACGAGGACCGCTTTGTCATCCCTCTGTAGTAGGGTGTGTCCTCAGGTGACTGTAGAGTCCAATTTTGCCCGGAACCGGCGCTCACAATCGCGATTACATATAGCATGTCCAGTTCAGGTCACCATAGAACGCGGTATTCTCTGAGATGCGACATATTCTTTATTCACACAACAAAAAGTACAGGGACTTTTGTATGGTCTTGTACACTAAAGATCTAACAAAGTTAAATACATGTATGGATGACTTCATCCTACAGAATATATGTCTGTGGCAAATGACGTACAGAATATATATCAGTGATAACAATGAATGTTTAACTATTCTATAACATGTAGTCTCTAAGATTGAAACATTCCTTAATGTATTTTCCTATTTGAATACTCTATTGGTTATCTCCTCTGAGAATGTAATATAATTTTTCCATAGCATCTAACGTATTGAAATCGGTTGAACAAGTGGAAAGAAAGGTGAACAGCAATAGGCGCTTATCATTGTATAGTGTACAATCCATTATAAAATTATGCTCATTTTCAATCATGTTTGGACAAAGTGAACAGAAACTTTGGTCATTTGGTATTTTCTGGTATCGACTCATTTCTATGTAACATATACGTCACGATTTGACCCCGTAGCATGTGTGTAAAAAACAACTACAAAAAGACCATAGATCTACATAATTTTTACATTTTTCGGTGTGCACAGGGTTTGACCACTAACGTTACAACCATGGAGATATTTCGCTAAGGCTTTCCAAACATTAGACTGGATCCTATTATAGCTAATTAATACAACGGTGTGATAGCCTACATGTATGTCTTTACGTTCTCACGCGTTGATACTAAAGTCTTCTGGTTAATCTTAATTTAAGGAAAATTGCGACCATACCTTCCAGAAGCCAGAAAAATTGGGATTCTTGTGAAACTCTACGGATGCTCGTAGATATGTCTGACTTGAAATAATTCATAGGAACAGGTCGAAGTGTCCGGCTAGTATTATATTTTTTGGGGGGAGGGGGGT